CAGAGTCAAGCACAGCAGCAATTGTGAGTATAGCACAGGAGCAGGCAATGTTTTGTTCTGATGCACATAAAATTGTTATGAATTAAGACTGATTTAACGACACCTAATAACAAACAACAATATCTTAGGCAAGGAAGCCATGGCACAATAGTTAAGGACGTGGCTACTAACTGAAAGGTCAGAAACTTGAATTCAGCAGCTCCTTCATGGGAGAAAAGGCCTGGCAAATTTTCTCCTTAAAGTTTCCAGCCTAGGAAAACCTAGAGAATAACTCTACTCTGTCCTGGAGGATCGCTACAAGTGGGATCTACTTTATCACATACCAGGTCAAGGAACTGTCCTAGTAATTATGACAGTGTTTTCCCTACTCTCAGGTGCTTGCGGATAAATGGTCACAGGTGTATCTGCTCTATAATCAGGCTGATCCAAAATGTTATGAAGGAAGAAGTAAAGGATGCTATTAGCGGAAGCTCCGGTGGCCTAGTAATAAGAAGCTGTGCTGCAATTGCAAAGGAAGGTGGTTCAAAGCCACCAAATGTCAGCTGTTCCTTGGGAGAAGTATGGGTAATCTTCTCCCACGTGATAAACTGTCTCTGAAAAACCATGGAGGGTCAGCGATGGGCTAGCTCTGACTCGAAGGTACACAACACCAATTAGAAAGAATAGGGGGCTCTGATGGTGTCCTCCTTTTAGAGATGTGCAGCTAATCCAAAGGCTATGCTTCTATGATCTTCAAACTCATTAGTACCTCTATGAGTGAAAGAAGACCAGTTTCTTCCTATGCTATTTACCGTCTCAGAAAACCAATGGAGAGTCAGCAGTAATTCAGTTCGAACTTGAAGGCAATGAATTTGAGGTATCTTGGGTCATTAGACGGTATAGCCTTGGCGGTGTAGCATGTAAGGTGTCTGGCTGCTAACTGAAGGGTCTCTGTCTCTGCCAGAAATGATTCAACATTGACTCTCCATTGGGTTTTAGGAGGCTATCAGTCATATAAAAACGGTGTCCATTTTTCCTTCACAGAGAAGCTAGTGGATTTAAACTTCCCATGTTTGAGTTGGCAGCACAACTCCCACTAGGCCACTAGTAGTGTTTTGAATCCACCAGTCTCTCCCTGGGAGAAATATGTAAGCCTCAGAAGTTCTGCAGAGGCTTACTATGAGTTGAGAAAACATCCATGGTATTGAGGTTGGAGGTAATTTACACACGTTTGTTTGTTTTGAAAAGGTGTAAAATGATGTAATAATCTGATAGAGCCAGATTGGGAGACATATAGCATCAGAAAAATTGGCCATCAGGGACCTCTCCAAAATCCTGAAGAGCAATGATGTCAGTTTAAAGACTAAGGTGCACCTGGTTCAAGCCACAGTCTTTCCAGTCATCTGCTATGCATTTGAGAGCTGGGCAATGAAAAAAGATAACAGGAGAAAAATAAATACATTTATGTTATGGTGTTGGAGAATAGTGCTGACTACCTCATAGATGACCAAAAGGACAGGTGTGTCTTAGAGAAAGTGCAACCAGAATGTTCCCTGAAGGCAAAGATGATAAAGCTTCATATCACATCTTTTGGGTACGTTGTTAGAAGAGGCTATTTCTTGGGAAGGGACATGGTGCTTGGGAATGTGGAGGGTCAGCTAAGTGGAGGAAGACCCAAAACTATGTGGATTGACACAATGATTGTAGCATCTCTGGATGGTAAAGATGGCAAAAGACAGGGAATAATTTAGATAAGTTGTTCATAGGCTTTCAGTGAACAATATTCGACAGCACCTAACAACAACATCAGATATAGTATGGGGAGAGGGTCAAAGAGACTGTCTTAAGAAAGTGGCAGATAAAATGAGTACCAAGAAAAAATGAAATTTATCTGGGTGTAAATGAGAAATGAGCATTATGGGCTCAGGAAAATTGCCTAGATAACTTGTTGGATAACCTGCAAACTCAAAAGGTTAAAAGAAAGGAAAAGAATGAGAATTTACTGGGCATCTGCTGTCTGCCAAGTTTTTGGTTGCAGGACACTACCTGGCAACCTGAGGGTCAGAGTGATATTAATTTATGAAGATATTCTGTATCAGGCTTTGGGATGCAGAAGTGGAGGGGCTACAGGTGATTTTTCTGCTAGAATGCTTAGCAAAGAAACATACAAATTATTCACAGCAGAGATACTTTCTGTAATTCAAACATCTGCAAGATGTTAATGGATACACTGATGGACACCATGAGCTCTGTTCTGAATGCCAAAGAAAACTCTATGAAGGATGTATTGTTTGAGCTGAGTTCTGACAGATAAATAAATAAGCTCTCCCCTCTGATAGAAAAGAACTAAAGTCCATCTTGGTAGTTGTTAGTTGCCACATTTGGTTCTGAATCATAGCACCTGTATTTATAGTGTAATAAATCACCTGTTCCTGCCCCGTTTTCATGGTTATTGCATGTGTGAGTCCATTGTTGAGGCAACTGTGTAGCACATTCCAACAGAGGACTCACCTTCCAGGACTGTATTGGACAATATACTTTTGCGAGCCACAGGGTTTTCATCAGTTAAGTTTTGGAAGTAGATTGCTAGACCTTAGTATGGAAGGTCCTCTAAAACTTATCCACCATGGGTTCAAGCAATACACTAGCGCCCACAGTATGATAAAGTGGCAGATAGTTAGCAATCTTCCAGGCATGAGCCTTAGCAAATGTGAAAGCATGCTCACTGCTAGGAAAGAACATGTCCCACTGGAGAACAAGACACTTGACTGTAGAAAACATGCAGGAGGCATGGAAGGAAGGTAACCTGGAGTCTGAGAGATAGAATTTCATTTGCCTACTTTTAAGATTTCTACCACATGCCTTATAAATCATGAGCCTTTCCCCGTTCTAAAGTTTCCTAAAACACCCAGGGGCTTCTTGTGGTATGAGGGCGTAACTGCAAGGTAAATGAGCTTGGAGAAAGTGTGGGCTAATGGAATGGTATTGGGAAAGGAGATTCCTCTCTGTGAACCTGAGGAGCAGAATCCATTTTTTTAAAAAAATTCAGAAGGAATAACAGATACATAAAATGTATTATAAACAGTACAAGAAGGAAGAAATAACATTTATTTTAACATAAACTTGTAAAATCTTTTATTATCCCTGCAAAAAAAAAAAAAAAAAAAACGAACAGAGGAAATACTGTAAAACATAGGACATGGGGTCAGGGAGAGCGGGTAGCCCAGGTTCAACATAGTGAATGTGGTACATACATAATTATATATAATAAAATGGTTCAAGCTTTTAAAAAATACACTTTAACCATCCAAAGATCCTAGCAGTGCTATCTTTATATTAGAATATTAAAGAATGAATTTCACTTCAATTAATGTGATTGTTTTCAAAGCTCTTTGACTTCATGACATTATTGAGAATTCTTTTCTTAAAAAGATGCCGTTTTCTAAGAACAGAAATCAGAAATCTATCTATTACTTATTAGTATTAGCTTGTCTCTCTATTCAAATATGTAGTTACTAAAATTATAGTGTTCCTAAAACAATATTTATAAATAGTATATAAAATCAAAGTGTAATGAGTAATTACTGACATTATGCCATACTAGTAAAGACATAAAATATCTAAAGTTAAAAGATGATAATATATTAGTCCTTTTAGAACTTAAACACTTAGAAAATCTAAATAATGAGATGTTTTCTACAGAGAGAACTGTATGATACACCAGTTTTATAACATAATGTAGGCAGCAATCTAGGGTCAAGAGGAAAAAAGTTCCCTAATATATTCCCCAAGAAACAATATCAAAATAATTTTCATTTTACAAAAATAATGAGTATTATTGCTTACATTAGCAACATTCTAATGAAACACTATTTACACATTAAATCCACAATCTTTTTCCCCTACTAGTCACATAGAGTTGTTTACCACAAACGTGGTTGTTATGAATGAGATATTGATTTTAAAAATTTATTTAATTCTGATTATTATATTTTTAAACTTTATTATATATTCGTGAAAGTTTACACAGCAAAACAGGATCTTGTTCAACAATTTCTATACATACTGTTCAGTAATTTTTTTCTTCCCACAAGTTGATGCTTCTTTCTTTTGTGTTTTCCTATCTTTTCAGTAATGCTATACAGAATATAAGAAGTTCTGGTGTTACAGTGTATAGCATGATGCACTGTAAACAAAGACAGCAGTTAAATCCACCAGCTGCTCAGGGAAGAAATATAGGCAGTCTCCTGTCTTTAAGATGTGCAGCCTTGGAAACCTTTTGCAGACCTGCTATAAGTTGGAGTTGATTACACAGCAGTGGGTTACAAGGAATATATTCTAGAAATACAATAGGCCACTTTCAATTCCATATGCTTTGAAAGATTTAACTGCCAAAGACGTCAATCACATAGCAGGTAAAATAAATAGCAGAAAATATTATGTTAAACACTTAATATACTTCGCAGACAAACTGGAGGGATCAACAGTCCTCTCACAAAGTGAGGAATTCTTGGAAAAGGCGAAAGTCTCACACTTGCTTTTTATCTTCTCTGGGGCTCCAGCGAAGAAGCCTGGATAATTTTCCACTGCATAGTCCTTGCTTTTCATCAGTTTTTCTTTTTTCCACTGTTGAGAAAAATCATCACATCAGTTTAATTAACTTCCACACACTTCTCCACTCCATCCTGTTTTAAAACTCAGAACTGAAAAAAACATTTGGGGAAGACGAAAGCAGAGAACAACAAAACCAAACAATATATACAAAAAATACAGCTCATTAATAAACCTCACTTCAATGCTTTGCCTATTACAGGGAGCGCTGATATGCAAGGTTTTATTGCTTGTTTGTTTGTTTTTTCGGAACCACCTGAACCTTCACTTCTCTTCTTTAACAACTTTTTGATTCTAAACATTTTTCTGGAATGGGTTAACCGGAACTTCTCTAGAGTATAAGCATCAGTGATAGGTGAAGATTCTGTAAAAACTGACAAAGATGAAAATTACAAGAAAATTACAAGTACCTTCCCAGAAACTTCTGGATGATTTTCTTGACCAAAGGGGCTTCTGGATTCAGGCAGATGTCCTTCCCATTTTTCAGGCGAGCTCTGGGGAGAAATGAGGGGCAGGTAAGATTCACCTGAGAGCCTCAAGGTTTGAACACACGCAGGCTGGTGACTTCCCGCTAGCCACAGTTACAAGGCATCTGCACCCTGAGGACTTACATCACTTCCACCCTGGAACACTGAGGGCCAGCGTCAATCACCTGGAGCTTACTGATCTTACTAATCAATTGGGGAGTCCCGGGAGTGAAGGTTAAGCACATGCAGCGTAGCTCTCTCACCACAGTGGCCGAAGGATTGGCTGGGGTACAAAGAGAAACATTGTGTTAGAAGGGAGTCTTTAGGCTGATTCCTTCCCCAGCGAGATGCACAGCCTGCTGTGCACCTCAGACGTGCGCCTGGCTCGCGCGCCTGGCCCCAGGAGAACTCCGGGAGTGCCGACTGAGGTCTCACCGCTGTCCAGGGGTCTCGGTGTCATCAGCAGCAGCAGCGCCAGCAGCAAGCTCACTGAGCTCAGATTGGCGGGGCTGGACCTCCGACTCATAGTGGCTAACAAAGGTTAGCCAAGGGTGTGCTGGCTCCGGAGGCTGGAGAGAGGCGAGAGGAGGCACAGAGCTTTGAGGCACTGTGGTCTGGATTCCCTTTTTATCTGCTTGTTTTTTCCTTCAGCCAGGAAACTCAAACTTATGGGATATGGGAAATTCCCTTAACTGGGAGGTGGGGGTGCGCAGAGAGGGGGTGAGGGGCGTGGTGAGGGGAGCTAGAGCTGTTGAAGTTGGGGAATAGGGTAGCTGGGAGGAGCTGATGGCACCAGGTTTGCCAACACTGAAACTTGGCCCAGAAGCCACTGGAGCAGCCCAAGGTGTGTGGACCCACCCTTTACCCTTGCCCTCACCTTCCTTCTCATCCTTGGGGGGCCCCCTAAGAATGGCCTGCTTCTCCTGGAGCACAGAGTCCTCGGTACCCTTCCTCTCCATCCAAAGAGAAAGCTGGAGCCAAAGTAGCAGGAGATTTGATTTTAGAATAATTCCTGACAGTGTTTAACTCTTTCATTGTCATTGCTGTGTAAGTACTGTCAGCTATGATTAGGGCTAACCGGAAAGATTTTCCTAGCCAGCTGGCAGGCAGGTCTGATTCTCAAATTTTAGGTAGGTTTTAAAAGTCAAGATAGTATGAAGACAGCTTCACGACTTTTATTTGAAGTCCTGGACAGGCTCCAAATCAAGTCTGCTTACTGAAAATCCTATACGTGCATGTGGCAAGCATATGTTTGTTAATGTGTTTTGCTTTTTTCTTTGGGGTTTTTTTTAAGTTTCAAATATCACTCAGTAGATTTCTTTAGAAGATAATGCCTTGTTTCTGGCAGTTCACTACAAGATTTGGAAAAGGTACTGGTCTTTGTTAGTGGGCTAGGAATTGAAGCAATGCCAGAGAATCCAAACCAGCTCTCATGGTGGCTCCTCTAGCAAGGGAGTCAACTCTCAGCACAGTGTCTTACAGTCTAACCTACCAGTAAGTGACTCTCCCAAGGGTTTTGAGGAGTCTATAAATTGAGACGAGATTGTCCATGTTAGTCTGAAGGAGCACTTGATGAATTGAAACCCAAAGCTCAGAGACCCTGGGGTAGACTAAGAGCTTGAGGGGCTGGCCAACAGGGTTGATCTAGAAGTTTGAACCAATTTGGTAGCAAGACAGTACTCTGGTTTCTTCCAAACAATTCATGGTAGGGGTCATATGGGGAAGGTTCAATCACAAACTGCTGGCATCCAGGTCACCACGTCTTTTTTCACAGGTCGACTTTAATTTTAAATAACCACTGACTTGAAGTTCAAGAGTGAGGTAACTTCCCTCTTCTCTACTCTCTTAGTGGTGGTCAAATTAGATCAATGAGGTTTAAAAGGCCAGGTTTTTCATGTCTGTAATTCTATGGCAGACCTAGAAAAACAATGGGATGGCATATGTTGTTTCCTTTCCTGAAGCCTAACTAGACCTTTCCTAGCTTGAACTTCTTCTGTATGATTTTCAAGACTCATATCTGCATAGTTGCTACCAAAGATGATGAATAATCATGATGATACTTGGAAACCACTCATCTACCAGAGTTCTTTTCTTTGTCTTCTGTGACTTCGGGGAATTTTAACTCCCCTACTCACTCTCCTTTGCTGAAACTTTAAAACTCCCTAAACTTTTAATCTTTAGAGATCTCTTCTGGGTGGTTTGGCCCTCATTTTGTGGGAAGCTAAGTAAGTTCTTTTCCCTTCTCAGCTTCGTAGCCCCTAAGTACCAATAGTTTCACACCTGACTCAGATAATGCAGTCCTTCATCCTTCTGGGAGTGGTAATCTGTGGATTTATTATATTGACTTTTTAGGGATTAAAATGTAACTAAAAAAAAAAAACAAAACCAAAAGATAAACCTCTTTGATGTGGATAAGAAAAAAACACACACACCTTAAAAATATGACTAATAGTCTTGGGTAATTAAACTTAACCACAGGGAATAAACCATTTATGATAAGATTTAGGAAAGAAAATGTTTTTAAGAGCATAGATTATTAAGCTTTCAAACATTTCTGGTTAGGTCCAAGATTTTTTTTCTCCCCCACACTAGTTTTTGCACATAAATGCCAAGATTGGAGAAGGGTCATGGGATGAGATTGTCAGTTCCTTTCCATGTTTTTAGACTTGTGCGTGCTTCACCTAGTTTGCACTGTGAATCAACTCACCATGGATGCAAGCGAACTTAAGCAACTGGCAGACAGATAATAGAAAGTCCCCCATGAGTGGGCTGTTGGTTGGATTGCTCAACCTGATGAGGAAGTAGTGAGTAATTTAACCTACTTTCCACTGAAATCTCTTGAGGCCATTGTCCACATGTAACTCTTTTATAGACCTCTCTGATTTGCACCTTGTGCGAAGGCCAGCAGTAGGATAGCTAATAATACAAAGAACTCCTGAAGCTGAGAATAGCAGCACCAAGAATCACAGTAGACATGGTTCTTTAAGAATAATCATTCCTATATCACCAAGAAGGTGGATATCGTCAAAGGGAGCTCTACCAGCCTAGTGGTAAGAAGCTGCACTGCAATCCCAAAGGAAGGCAGGTTGTTTGAATCCATCAGCTTCTCTACAGGGGAAGGATGGACAATCTCCTCAGATGTAGTTTACTGTCTCTGAAAATCTGCTGGAGGGTGAGCTGAGAGTTGGTTCCAACTCAACAATAACAACAACAACAGCACCAGGGAAAGGGAAGAAGAACATCAATAAAATGGATTGACAGTGAATCAATCAGTAACAATGAGCTCTATCATTCCAGAGATGAAGATGGTGAAGGATAGGGCAAGGTGCACACCTGTTGTCCTTAAGGTTGTTATGAGTTCTAGCAAGCTTGATAAGATCTAACAATAACAACAATGACATATCATCAATTTAAAGGGAAATCATTTCCCATACCTACACTGTAGCCACATACTAAAGAAAGGCATTGTGTTGGTTTTGTTCTTAACAATGGTTAAACAATCTATTAATGACATCTTGGTAGCCAGAAAGATTTACTGTATGTCAAAAGCAGTATAATAGTAGATATTTTATCAGAATAGTGTAATAACAAGAAGACATTTCTTAATAATTTTCAGCTTTCAAAACACATGCATGCTTATTATCTCTTGATATTTACATTGCCTCATTGAAGCAGATAAGAGAAACTTTTATTTCCCCATTGCACCGACAACTGAAAGGGCAGCTCTTTGAGTCCACTAGGCATACCTCAGGAGAAAGATGGGCTATCTCTCAAAGACACTGATAGCAGCAGAAACCCAGCAGAGGATCCGTAAGTCAGAATAGACTTGACAGCAGTGAGTTTGGGTTTGGTTAGACAGAAAAAGTAAGGCCTGAGAAGGAGTTAAAATGCACAAAATACAGGGCGGAAAGTCAAGCATTAGAGAATCTGCCACGCAAAAAATTTTATTTGTTCCAAGATTATAAACCAATTTCTACCAAGACACTGCCAAATATCTCCTTGCTTGTTGCAATCCAGTTAACCACTTTATTTGCATTTCCCAACAGCCACATTTTAGGTTGCTGAAATCCTCAGACTATTTACTTGTGGCCTTTGAGGACCACAATGATACTGAACATCATTTAGAGTTCCAAATTACGCAGTATTAAAGTGTGTGCTTTCTAAATCTCTCTTTCTTCAAGATCCAGCTCACAATCCTGTCTTCTCTGAGAAGACTTTTTCAGACATGAGCAGCTGAATGTGCTGCTTCTACTTCTGGCCTCTGAATATTTAACATATGTATAATAAGTACCTCGAAAGGCTGAATTTAACTATTCTTTCATTTTCCTCTTTTTTGCCTTTCTGCTAACTAAGAAAAAAGAAAGCAAAACAGCCCGCTCCCCAAGTTTCCCTCAAATCTGTTACAACTCATGGTAACCCTATGTATGTCTGAGTTGTACTCTGTAAGGATTTCCAGAGTTTTTTTGTTTTCAAATATTTTTGCTTTATATTGGTTTACATACAGAAATCTTTATACACTGTGTTTCAGTCTTATATTGTGTTTTACACATTTCTTTATTCATACTGTGCTTTATACAATCATCTCCAGGTTGCTCTTCCTAGGTATTTCTGAGCAGCCTTCGAATTTCCAACCTTCCAGTTAACAGCTAAATCCTAAACCCTTTTCACCACTCAGGGATTTCTCTAATCAATTGCTTTTATGTTGTTGTTTATTGTCATTGAGTTGGCTCAGACTCATAGCAATCTTATGCATAATAGAATGAAAATGCTATAGATTCAATAGCAAGATGTTATCTTTCTCATAACCTTCCACATTCCAAAATCAGTAGCAAGAAGTTTGTGAACATTTGGTGGCAGACCATGGCAATAACTTTTTATTTAGCTGTGGATTGCAGGGCTATGTATTGCCATTAAGAATTTGAATTTTTCTGTTTTGAACTGGTTTTTCTATGTTAGAAGCTGTTTCTTGAATATTCTCAGTGAAAGTTCAAGTTTCTGGAATAGAAATCTTTCAAAAAAGGTACAAAATCTGACAGGGTATATAATATAAAAAATGTATATAAGCAAAGGTACCAAATCTGTCAGGGTATATAATATAAAAAAATGTATATAAGCAAAGTTATAACTGAATGACATAGTTTCTATAACTTAGAGATCTCTAGAGATAAATGAAAAAGAAAATTCTGACTAATTAATACTTATAAATAGTGTAAGACCATCATTCTATCCTATGTTCTTTCAGCAAATCAGAGAAGTCTTTAATGATGTGATACAATATATATATAACATTAGTGATGATTATCCAGGACGCTGGGCTCTATGAGGAGAAATGTGGCATTAGGATTGGAGGAAGAATCATCAACAACTTGCATTATGCAGATGACACAACCCTGCTTGCTGAAACTGAGGAGGACCTGAAGTGCTTGCTGTGGAAGGTCAGGGGCTGCAGTCTTCAGTATGGATAAAGAAAATAAAGATTCTCACCAGTGGGCCAATTGGCAGAATCATAATGGATGGTGAAGAGAT